TCTCCTCTTCATCAGTGAGGAGATTGTCCAGTATTCACTGTCATATAGGAGGACTGATATTACGTAACAGTTCAGTACACTTTTCTTTGTTTCTGTTGCTTTAAGTCTCCTCTTCATCAGTGAGGAGATTGTCCAGCATTCACTGCCATATAGAAGGACTGATATTACGTAACAGTTCAGTACTCTTTTCTTTGTTTTTGTTGCTTCAAGTCTCTTCTTCATCTGTGAGGAGATTGTCCAGCATTCACTGCCATATAGGAGGACTGATATTACGTAACAGTTCAGTAATCTTTTCTTTGTTTTTGTTGCTTCAAGTCTCTTCTTCATCTGTGAGGAGATTGTCCAGCATTCACTGCCATATAGGAGGACTTATATTACGTAACAGTTCAGTACTCTTTCCTTTGTTTCTGTTGCTTTAAGTCTCCTCTTCATCAGTGAGGAGATTGTCCAGCATTCACTGCCATATAGGAGGACTGATATTACGTAACAGTTCAGTACACTTTTCTTTGTTTCTGTTGCTTTAAGTCTCCTCTTCATCAGTGAGGAGATTGTCCAGTATTCACTGTCATATAGGAGGACTGATATTACGTAACAGTTCAGTACACTTTTCTTTGTTTCTGTTGCTTTAAGTCTCCTCTTCATCAGTGAGGAGATTGTCCAGCATTCACTGCCATATAGGAGGACTGATATTACGTAACAGTTCAGTAATCTTTTCTTTGTTTTTGTTGCTTCAAGTCTCTTCTTCATCTGTGAGGAGATTGTCCAGCATTCACTGCCATATAGAAGGACTGATATTACGTAACAGTTCAGTACTCTTTTCTTTGTTTCTGTTGCTTCAAGTCTCTTCTTCATCTGTGAGTAGATTGTCCAGCATTCACTGCCATATAGGAGGACTGATATTACGTAACAGTTCAGTACACTTTTCTTTGTTTCTGTTGCTTTAAGTCTCCTCTTCATCAGTGAGGAGATTGTCCAGTATTCACTGTCATATAGGAGGACTGATATTACGTAACAGTTCAGTACACTTTTCTTTTGTTTCTGTTGCTTTAAGTCTCCTCTTCATCAGTGAGGAGATTGTCCAGCATTCACTGCCATATAGGAGGAATGATATTACGTAACAGTTCAGTACTCTTTTCTTTGTTTTTGTTGCTTCAAGTCTCTTCTTCATCTGTGAGGATATTGTCCAGCATTCACTGCCATATAGGAGGACTGATATTACGTAACAGTTCAGTAATCTTTTCTTTGTTTTTGTTGCTTCAAGTATCTTCTTCATCTGTGAGGAGATTGTCCAGCATTCACTGCCATATAGGAGGACTTATATTACGTAACAGTTCAGTACTCTTTCCTTTGTTTCTAACGATATTTTTTTTCATAATACTTTGCTTAGCTTTTGAAGAATTGATTTACAAACACCACAAATGCTTCTAATATGAAAACAGCGTCTCTTCTTTTTTTATCTAATCTTTGACGACAATGCCACAAACAAGTTAGAAATGATACCTAATTTATTTCCGTCGTTTGTCTGAAAGCCACACAATGCTGAGAAACCTTTCTTGTAGAGTTATTTTGGAAAACAAAACGGTAGGCCTCCTTTCAAAGTAGTTTCACCTAAAACAAAAAAATCTTTTGTGTTCTTCAGGCGGGAAGTATCAAGATATTCTTTTGTTTCAAAGATCTTCTTCCTGCGATACAATGAGACCTGGGCCTGATTAGAACACACACAAAGTCAATTTTTCTGTAAATGTTTGAAGTGTCTGGTGTTTTAGGACCAACAGTAAAGCCTAAAAACTTCACCGCTGGTTTCACACCAAAAAACATTTTTTTCCTACTACGTCTGTTGGTCCTTATTAACAGAAGAAGGAGGATCAAAAGTAATTCCTAAAAGCTTTACTATTAATACTTAAAAGGTTTTTACCGCCTACTTTTGGACACTGGTTAGCTTCAAAGCAGGTAACCACCACCTAGAAGGAGGAGGACTAAAACGAAAATGAAGCAAATAAATTGAAAAAAAAAAACTTTTAGGGTCAACTGCCACTTGACCGGAAGCTGCGGAATTCCGGATTTAGGTTTGCATATGCAGCATGACAGATAAAGTCGGTTGTGAGCTACTCGAAGAGATCAGTGATTCGGCTGTCAGTTAAGAGTCGAGCTTTAGGGGACGACGAGAGGGATGTATGGAGTAAGACAGATGTAGAGTCGGAGGACGATGTAGGAAGTAGGATAAATTAAACGAAACTTCAGCAAATAAATAAAACATTCAGGATCAAGTGCTACTTGCTCGGGAGTTAGGGAATTCCGGTCTGAAGTTTATATATGCAACATTAGAGCAGTTGATTTCGCACAAAATTTGAAAGCTGCGGTTTGACATGATAAATAATGACGTAAATTTGTTAACGTTTTTCGAGGAAATGAGTTTAAAGATTAATTTTAGGTTCAAAATTGTGGCGTTGCAATTTCATTCCGATGATCAGTGAAAGATTTAATGCTGTCAAAAAAATTCAATAGCCTTATGGAAAACAAATGTGTAAAATGTTATTGAATAATATATTTTCCAATTGCAACATTTACCGGGTTCTCATTAAATCAAAGAATAACTCAGAATCATAAATAATATAAAAGCATTAACTTTATACAGACAAAATAGAGATTAAATACATATGTATAAATGAATTTAGGTTGTGGCCAGCGATGAAAATCGATCCCATTTTTTTCTCATGTGGAATTTTGGTTTTGTTATTTTTCAGCAGGAAAGAAAACACACACCAGAGAAAAGTCTGTCTATATTTCTGAGATGAGGTATTATGTACATTATTTACATTATTCGGACTATTGTCCTCATCTTTGTTGCCATATTTATTACAACGTTTCGACCTTTCAGTATCTGTCTATATTTCTGAGATGAAGTATTATGTACACTATTTGAATTATTCGGACTATTGTCATCATCTTTGTCGCCATATTTATTACAACGTTTCGGCCTTTTAATATCTATCTATATTTCTGAGATGAGGTATTATGTACACTATTTACATTATTCGGACTATTGTCCTCATCTTTGTCGCCATATTTATTACAACGTTTCGGCCTTTCAGTATCTGTCTATATTTCTGAGATGAGGTATTATGTACACTATTTACATTATTCGGACTATTGTCCTCATCTTTGTCGCCATATTTATTACAACGTTTCGGCCTTTTAATATCTATCTATATTTCTGAGATGAGGTATTATGTACACTATTTACATTATTCGGACTATTGTCCTCATCTTTGTCGCCATATTTATCACAGCGTTTCGGCCGTTGTTCGCTCCGGCCTTCTTCAGGTGGTTGAAGTATTGAACTGAACCCTTTATTTCGCTAACTGGGGTAGACTGTTCTCGTTCCACGTGCCATGTTTGATGGATGTCAATTATCAGTTATCTCCTGTTAATTTCCCTCTGAAATTCAGTGGATAAAGGCGTTGGTTAGATCCAGTGACAGGAACCCAAAGAGTGTGAGTTCAATACCCGGTTAAAGCAGTGGAGAACTTGGAGAGGGAAATTAACAGGAGATAACTGATAACTGACATCCATCAATTATGGGTATTTCGGCTAATCATATAGTATTTCGTCGAGCCTAGAATAATCCTCAACAGAATGCAGAAAGTCCTATCTGGGGTTCATCAACAGTGCGCATTCCATTACCGAGAATCGAACCCGGACCATTTCGATACAACGCAAACGTCATACCAACTGTACCACGGTACACAAAGTAGACTCGATAAAGCTCCGCTACTCACTCATCAAGTATACGGATAACCTCAGAACAATGCCCAAGAGTCACGTCTGCTTATTGACCCATAGCCGCTCCTCACGAGCTTTAGCTGGGTCAAGTAAAGATATACAGTGAATAATTTTTGTGGGGGGGGGGAGATTAATCATCGAGCCCAGACTAATCCTCAACAGAATGCAGAAAGCACTGGACGCCCGTTTCGTCTTATCTGAGACTCATCAGCAGTGCGCATTCCACTACCGAGAATCGAACCCGGACCATTTCGATGCAACGCAAACGTCACGGTGACAAAGAAGACACAAACTAGACTCGATATAGCGATATACATATATATATATATATATATATATATGTATCTCTCTCTCTCTCTCTCTATATATATATATATATATATATATATATACTATATATATATATATATATATATATATATATATAAATGTAAAAGAATGAAAAGATTAAAATTCAAACGTTCATAACATTAATTTTAAAAAGGGCTCAATGCAAAAGTAGAGCAATAAATATTTATTACAAACTGTTGTAGTAACTTACATGTTCTAATGTAACAGTAACAAATATATGTGTGTGTGTTTATGTTTGTGTGTGTGTGTGTGTGTGTGTGTGTGTGTGTGTGTGTGTGTGTGTGTGTGTGTACATAAAAATCTGCCCTCTCTCTTTCTATTACCCAATCTCCATCAATCTCGGCTGGTCTTTCTGTTTCCCCCTCTCTTTTATCTCCTTTGCTTTTTTTCTCTTTCTTTGTTTCGCCCTCTCTCTCTCTCTCTCTCTCTCTCTCTCTCTCTCTCTCGCGTCCTTCCTCTCTTATTCTCAGCTTTCTTTCTTAATTCCACACCAGCATTTTTACCTCCCCCTCTCCTTATTTTCGCTTATGAGGATTGATTCATCATCAGTTTTCTTCCTGACACGCGACTCAACAATGTCTCATGTTGTTTTCTTGTTTCTTATTTACCCTCTTGTTATTCGTTGCGTTTTCCATGGCGATTTAGAGAAATCGGCTTTGGCGATAATTAACTTGACTGTTTTTACCCGTTCCATATAAGCATTGCTAATTAACAATCTTTACAATACATACATACATATATATATTTGTGTGTGTGTGAGTGTCTTTGCGTGTGTGTCTGTGTAAAACAAGTTTCAGAACACACAAACATACCCATATATATTCAAGATGTCAGATAATTATCTGAGATACACACATAAAACAGACTGAAATAGATAGATAGATAGATAGATAGATAGATAGATACGAACAGATTGAGATAGATAGACAGATAAATAGATAGATACAAACAGACTGAGATAGATAGATAGTACATTCTTTTTATAGATACAAATATTTCAGTAAATGATCTGTTTTATAATAAACAGTATTAAACAACATTTACCGGCCTGAATGACCGAGAAATTATCATAGAAAATATACGGAACCGTCATATACCCTGACGTGCTTTTACCGATTGGGCCACAGGGGAGCATTCAGTTAGCAACGTCTATTTTACTGTCTTTCGCTTGCTAACTGAACGCTCCTCCGTGGCCGAATCGGTTAAGGCACGTCAGGCTATATGACGGTTCCGTATAGAATACAGGTTCGATTCCTGTCGGAGGACGAATATTTTCAGTGAAAATTTCTCGGACATTAAGGCCGGTAAATGTTGTTTAATACTGTTTATTATAAAATACTGTTTAATTAATACTGTTTGTTATAAACAAAGCATTTACTTAAATATTTGTATTTATAAAAAGAATGTATAAACATAAAAATGTCTTAAAATAATTGTCGGACTTTGTCCATTTCATAGATAGATAGATAGATAGATGCGAACAGATTCAGATGGAAAGATACTAATAGACTGCGATAGATAGATAGATAGATAGATAGATAGATAGATACTAACAGACTGAGATAGATAGATAGATAGATAGATAGATAGATAGATAGATAGATAGATACGAACAGACGTAGATAGATAGATAGATAGATAGATACGAACAGACAGATAGATAGATATCACACATTTTATACATTCAGAGATGCTCTTCCGCCTATCACCGTTATAAAGGGCTGTTATTTGAGTCGCTCTTGTCTTTCTATCACCTTCAACTAGTTCCCTCCTATGTCTGTAACAAAAAAAGTGATTTCCGCCCATAAAATTACCGAACACTGGATTTTTTTTCCCTTTTTCTGGGCATCCTCTGTAAATTCTGCAATAAATCCTAAAAGGTCAGCAGTTTCAAAATGCACAGCGCCAACGTACAAGGTCACTTAAATAACCTTACTAAAATGACATAAAAATACCTAAAATAACCTTACGTTAAATTCCAATTCTAATGCCTGAAATAGAATTCAGCAGGTCACTATGGCAACGTTTAAATGCCGCATTTAGTGTCTTGTGATATCAGTAGATGTGTTCATATTGATTTCTATTATGTAAAGTTTTCTTACCGTATTTTAGCATTTGGATACGTTCGTTTTCAAGGTCATTCAATGTGACATTATATAAACGTTCAAGCTGAATTTTTATGTTGTTTTTTTTTTTAAATACATTTCACTATGATAAGACAAGATGAGCTGGGATCAAATGCAGATCAAATATGGATCGACATCCGACAGAATAATGTGATAAAATGCAAATAGGAAATGTTTATCAATCTAACATGTTTCACTTTTATTAAGGCTTCCTCGGAGAATGAGATATGTAGAAAAAGATGAAAGAAAGTCTGCTGTTTGATTTTCATTTGTCAATCAGCTTTCACATACATTCGATTCTTTATGACCTTCCGAAGTCAAGGAAAAAGAACGCGTCCATCTAAAGTTTCCAGAAATTTATGGATTCTAAGCCTAATCACTTCAATATATATATATATATATGTGTGTGTGTGTGTGTGTGTGTGTGCATATTGTAAATAAGTGTATACGGTGTGTCGTACAAAAACTGACAGCATTTTGTAGTCTCAATCACTGTCAAACGTTCTCAAAATGTGTAAAAACTAAATTAAAAAAGAAATTAATTTCGTTTGCTTGGGTCATATACTTGCTCGAATATTCATATTTTAGATAGATAGATAGATAGATAGATAGATAGATAGATAAACAAAGTCCGACAATTATTTTAAGTCATTTTTTAAAAAAAGAATATATAAACATAAAAATGTCTTAAAATAGATAGATAGATAGATAGATAGATAGATAGATAGATATATAGATACACACAGCCTGAGGTAGATACCCACAGTCTGAGATAGATAGATAGATAGATAGATAGATAGATAGATAGATAGATAGATAGATAGAGCCTGAGGTAGATACCCACAGTCTGAGATAGATAGATAGATAGATAGATAGATAGATAGATAGATAGATAGATAGATAGATACGAACAGAGATAGATATGAACAGAGATAGATATGGACAAACTAAGCTAGACAGATACGAATAGACTGAGATAGATACGAACAGAGATAGATAGATAGATAGATAGATAGATAGATAGATACGTGCGAAGAAACTGCGATACATAGAATAAACATTTATTTTAGATTTAGTTTTTACTAAATTTGGAAACTTTCGCCAATTAAAACATAATCCTCGGTGTCCGTTCTTCCTGCGTGCATGTGCTAAAACGCATTCGTTGGGTGGGTAAGTGCAGCAGTGCACGCGCTTGTGCACTGGCAGCGCACCTGTGAGGACCTCTAAGTGCGCTTTCCAGGCAGCAGGACTAATAAGATTTCAACTGACAATGCAATCCGTATTTAAACTTTCTTATACTTACATAAACGTCATGCAGACTGGCAAAGATAACAAGAAAACTGACATTAGAGCTACTACGTCTTTATACACAAATAATTTATATATATATATATATATATATATATATATATATATATATATGATAAATTAATTGATTTAAAATATGGTTTTTTTCGCTATACAGTCCTAACCATGTTTCAAAAATGGAAGCTAAAAGCCACGAATTTAATTTTGTGATTAAATTAAAGACATTAGTGGAACTAATGTCTTTAATTTAATCACAAATGCTCTGTAAATTTACATTGAGCATTATTTTGTAAAAGTAAAAATATCTATAAGAACACCGGATTATATATCTTACTGCTCTTTTTTTTTATTTATTTATATATATATATATATATATATATATATATATATATAAGTTGATAATATTAGTTGTCTATATATATATATATATATGTGTGTCTGTGTGTGCATACATAAATTTCCAATTGGATCGTGATTACGATTCAATGTAATAAATTATAACCATGGGATATTTGTGTTCGAGTTTTTTACACACACACACACACATATATATATATATATATATATATATATATATATATATATATATATATATATATATATATATGTGTGTGTGTGTGTGTGTGTGTGTATATATATATATATATATATATATATATATATATATATGTCCATAAAGTTCGTGTTCACGTTAAAAATTTATAACTTTATTTGTATTTTCGATAGAAATAATTTGTAAAAAGGATTAGAAAGAAGTAAATCTATATTTTTAAGATATTATTGAAATTTTATTGAAGTTTCCACATGTCCTCCATCATTAGCAATACAAAGGGTAATACGATTTTGCAGTTCACGGAAAACATTTGCCAACTGATTTACAGTAATGCCTGAAATCACATTAGTTATTTTAGCTATACTTAAAACTAGGTACATTAACTTTGTAACATTTTTTACAGATTATTTCTATTGCAAATACAAATAAAGTTATAATTTTTTTAAAGTGCACACAAAATTTATGAACTTTATATACTTTTTTTCCTTTCTTTTTTTGAAGAGTTTCACCCCACGCAAGACGGGAGTGCCGCTAGTATGCAAGGGGATACAGAGCATGAAAGTATGGGAAAAGACTCGTTATGGGGGGGGTTGAGGAAAGGATAGAAAGAAGAACAGGAGGAGGATAAAAAGTAAAACGGGGGATCAAGGCAACGGAAGATGTCGATTGACATTACATTTACATTTTTGAAGATTATAGTCATCAGGAAAGCAAGTAAGAGGAAGGGAATTCCTCTGTCGGGAAGTGCGAGAGAAAAAGCTAGAGTAGAAGAGGCGGTTACTTTTTTAACTGTTACGACAGCAAAAGGGTGGGATCGAGATGCCAACCTAGTAGCTCGCTTAAATTCATGCATCAGCTCGTAGGAGCAGATGTCATGAAAACATTTATAGAAAAGGCAGAGGGAAGTCGCATTACGTCGGTAATGAATTGACAGGAGTGGAGATCCCAAGTCAGAACCGATTAGACTGCATATCTGTCTTTGAATTTTGTCGAGAACCTCGAGATGAACAGAGAGGGCAGCGGACCATTTATGGCAACAGTATTCCGTTCATGGATAAATGGTAGAATTATAGACGTGATGGATTGACCCAGACGAGAAATCCCTTCTAGCGCAATACAGAGAACCAACTTTCCTTGCAGTAGATGCAGCTATTGATTCAATGTAGTTATTTCACCTCAGGTCAGTCGAAAACGTGAGACCGAGAAGGCGCAGTGAGGCGCTCTCGTGGTGTTGAGCATCAACCGTGCTGATAGGAGGCAGGGACGTTTCTCTATGGTGAGTAAATGACAGCAGATTCGTTTTGGAAGCATTATAATTCACAAGCCATTTTCTACCCCAGTTAACCACAGACGTTTTCGAGACCAACAGCCAGGTTAACCTTCTCAGGAATGCTGGATTTACTCTTGTTTAATATACAGTAGCTATTAACGCACCGCTCTTCATTAACGAATTGAGCACTCTGGCTGCTGGCGTTTGTCTACATTCGTATATAATACGTTAGAATTTCCCTTTCTCCACTATGCCCCGATAGCTTATGGGTAGGATCTTTGATTAATGCCAAATCCGTCGGCTTGAAGCAGTCGGATGTCTATGTACACTGATGAGCTGTGATAGAGTGAAACAGGCTTGTATGTGAATGATTATATATATATATATATATATATATATATATCGGGTAACTAGTTGAGTTTCTCTTTTCCAGGTTTTCAGCCATCTTGACCCCTTTGTCGTAAGAATCACTGAAAAAGCCCTTTGAGTTATTCAGCTCGAAAGAGAACAGGGTAAAATCGTTTTATGACAGCCCCACCATGTCTTCCTAACTGCGCAATAGTGAGAGGAAAAAGTTCATTCAGGCCTTCAGTAATGGTACCAACATTCATACTCTGGCTTCCATCTTCGAAGTCCATTCAAGAACCATCACGATAACAGTGAATAGGTTTAAAAAAGAGAAAACAGTAGAGAGGTAAACAGGACCAGGAGATCAAAA